CGACTCAGCACAGTGCTTTCAGCAATCAGCTGATTGACAATATGGAATGAATATACTAGATAAAGCACAGAAACATCACATGCTGTATGTACAACTCAAATCCATCCATCCATTCATTCATTCATTCATTCATTTAGTCAGTCATTCACTCATTCATTCAGTAGACACTGTGTACTTTGGGACACACAAAAAGGAATAATGGTAATACTACAATTATGTGGAATTTGAAAGGTTACAAAGCAGTTTCCTAGGACACATTATAATTTCTCAGCTGAGGAAGGTCACAGTCTAGTAAGGGGATAAGACTATTATCTATCAGCCCCTAGCGGTTTTTTCCTCCTCATGGAATTTAGTACCTGACCCACTATCTTTCTCTCCACTTGAAACCCTGCCCTTATACTTGGGAATCTCAACTTACACACTTGAAGTCCTCTCAAAGACCTTTGCTTCCTGGTTTAATCACCTTCTTAACTCCTGTGTTTTTCATCTTCACTCCAAATTGGCCACAACCGAGGATGGTCATACCTTTTATTGTTTCTACCTCCACAATCCATAATTCCTGTATCTGACCATAACCTTGTTACCTCCCTGCTCTCTCTGTGCTTTATTCCTCCTAAACCTGTTCTCTAACTTCTAGACACCCCACCCCTCCCTACATTCCCAGGCCATCACTTCTGCTCTGGCATCATCTTCCTCCCTTGAAAATCTCAACCCTTTAGTTAACCAGTTCAACTTAAAACCAGTTATGATCTTTGAATTCCTTGCCCTGTTGTTCTTAGCCCATTTCCAGACTCCAACTCTAGCTTATTCACTTTTACCATCTGCTTTCTTAAAGAATCTCACAATTTGCCTCTGGCCTATCTTTCCAGACCAGTTACACATTTATTTCCCACCATGTAGTCTGTGCTATTAAAAAACTCACTTATTTAATTTTCTCCATACACAATATTCTGTCTTTTACCGTGAGCCTTTTGCATAAGCTGCCTGGAATGCTCTCCCTCCTCACCTTTGCCTTTTGGAATGCCGTTTCAGACATCTAGAACTGGATACCTAGTAGACAACTTAAACTCAAAACAGAACTCATTGTCTTTTTCCCCAAACCTTCTACATCTTCTACTTTCCCTGTTACTGTAGAGGGCAGCTCCATCTCTCAGTCCTCCAGCCTGAACTCCTCACTATCTCTCATGCACCCCCCCCCCCCCACCTTCATATCCAAACTGTTGCCAAAGCCTGTCAATTTCACCTCTGCAACATCTCCAATACAGCTTCTTCTCTCCTCTGACACTGCCACCATCATAGTACAGGCCCCCATCACCTCACACCTGGATTATTGCAACAGCCTGCTGCTTAGTCTGCCTTTCCACAAGCTTCTCTCCCCATTCCAATCCATTTTCCATTCAGCCACTAAAGTGAAATTCCTAAAATGCAGGTCCTGCTTAACAAACTCCAGTGTTTATTGCCTCCAGGAGCATATATATACCCCCACACAAAATGCTTTGTTTGTCATTCAAAGCCTTTCATATCCTAGGCCCCTCCTACCTTTTCAGTCTTCTTACACTTTACTTGATGGCAAAAATTCTTCCATTCAGCGACACTGGCCTTCTGCCTATCTCTTGGACCAGACTCTCCATCTCTTGGCTCCAGGCATTTTCTCTGTCTGTCCTTCATGCCTGGAACATTCTCTGTCTTCTACTCTGACTACCAATGTCCCTGGCTTTAAGTCCCAATTAAAATCTCACCATCTAGAGGAAGTCTTCCCCAACCCCTCTTAACTCTAAGGCTTTTTCTTTTAAAATTATTTCTTATTTATCCTTTTTTTGAGTATATATTTGTGTGTTGTCTCCCCCATTCCATTGCAAGCTTCTTGAGGTCAGGGACTGTCTTTTGCCTCTCTTTGTAACCCCAGCACTTAACACAGTGCCTAGTACATAGTAGGTACTTAATAAATGTTTATTGCTTGATTGAGGTCAAGTGATACTTCCTTTTAGAGTTCACTATCTCTATTGATTCTCCCAGTTATTAGTGTTTTCTTCCAAACCTCATTATATTTTGTATATAATCTATAATTACCTGTGAACACATAGTAGCCCCTTGGTATTATATAAGCTCTTTGAAGACAAGGACTACTTCATTTTTGTTTTTTGGGATTTTTTTGGTCTCAGCATCTAGTACTGCGAGCAGGGGAATGACATCAATCAATGAGTCATTTAAGCAAGCAAGCATTTATTAAATGCCTACTATGTGCCAGACACTGGAGATACAAACACAAAAGTGAGATCTTTCCTATCCTTAAGGAACTCACATTCTACTAGTTCACAGAGAAATAAAATAGCACAGGGCCTTGTACATAATAGATTTGTTGAATTGGATTGAATTGAATAAGGGATTAATAAATGCTTTTTGTATTAGATTATAGAATAATGCTAGAAATAGAGTCTAGAGGATAGATGGGTTTTATTTAGTTCCAGGTGGAGTATAGGAGGAAAAGATCAAAGGTTGAAGGAATAGGCACTGATAAGGAGTAGGGGCTGAGGTGAATAGGGGATCAGAGTATGGTGAGAAAGAGTTGGAAGGAGTTTGTGTCTAAGATGGGCATGGAATATAGTGGATTGGATGCTGTACTTGGAGTCAGGAAGGTCTAGGTTTAAATCTTCTCCCAGACACCCACTAACTGTGTGATCTTGGGCAAGTAACTCAGCTTTAGTTTCCTCATCTGTAAAATGGGGATAACTGTTGCATTTACTTCAAAAAGTTGTTGCGAGGATCAAGGGAAACTATTTACGTAATATACTTTGTAAACCTTAAAGCATTTTATGAATGTCAGTTCTAGTTTATTTATTTTGTATATTCTTACACATGTACATATTTTTTCGTCCAAGAGAATGCTCTTGAGAGCAGAGATTGTCTTATTTTTTGTATTTGTATCCTTAGAACATAGTAGCTCTTAATAAATACTAGTTGATACAGAGGAATAGGAAGTTGGGTGGTATTCTAGGGGGTGTGTTAGCCAGAGGGGAAGAGAAGTGTTGATTAGGCAGAGGTTAATGGAAAGGCTCCCAGTTCCCTCTAAAATGGTGGTGTGACAGCTTTTCTCAGAGAGCACACACTCTGTGTGTATATCACTCACTCATGTCATATGCCACTATTTAGAAAGTAACACACACTTTCGACCTATAATCTTGGAGAGTTGTTGCCTAGATCTTGGAGGGGAAGAGAGGTCACATAGTATGTCAGAGGTGGGATTTGTACTCAGATCTTCCTGACTTTCAGGAGCAGAGGACATCCTGCATTTGTAGCGTTTATCAAGCACTGTTCAGAATATATATATTACACGTGCAATTAACACACTCATATTGCCGTATAATACATGTACAATACCATCTTCTATGATGAGTGCAGATTTTTTGTTTGGACTTTTTGTTTTTCACTCCAATTTGTCTTATCTTGTATATTTGAGTCTAATAGTATGGGAACCACAGATGCTAGACATGGGAGCCTGCGGGGGTGGTGTCAATCCTCCCCCACAGTCTCCCTTCTGAGACCTGGGAACTACCTACCCAGTTATTACCTAGTTCTCATTTAGCAGTTATCAGACTCCCCTCAGGCCCCATGGCCTCCAATACTGAAACACCAGTTCTTGTTTCAATAATTCTGGCATGGAGTGAGATCCAGATCCTTGCTTGTTTTTACACCTTCTGTTACTGGGAGCTTGAGCTCTGGTACTGGCTCTGGGCCTGGGCTCTGTAGCCAACTCCAGATACAGACAGATCCTGCCCACTCTAATTGGGCAACTTTCTTCCCCATAAGGCTAAATGGGATCAGGGATGTTTGCCCTTTTGGGGATAGTATAAGTAAGCGGCCGCCCCTCAGCCCACCATTGCACCCACAGGATGACTTTGGCCAGCTGACTTGATCAGCAATCTGGGGAGGAGAGGAAGTTGTGGTGGCGGTGGTACCACAGAGTTGTTCTTTGTCATTTCTCAGGGTCACAGCTTCCTCCCCCTTGCCTCCCTGCTGTGAAAATGAGGTTGCTGTCACTGACCACTTCCCTCCTGGCCCCTAGCTCAGTGGTGTGTGGTGAGAGTCAGGCATTGGGAGTGTCAGAGGAGAGGTACCATTCAAGCTGCCAGGAGTGTGGTTTGCTGGAACACTCACTCCATCTGTCAATAACGGGCTGGAACAGAACAGGAGAGATCAACTAGCAAGGGAGGTTTCCTCAAAGGCTTTTTTTTTTTTTTTTTTGCCATCAACTGATTTCTTATTTCTTTAGAACCTACAAGACCTCTAACACCTTGGGAGGATTAAGAAATCATTTAGAATTTACTATTCAAATGAACAAATATTTATCAAGTTTTTTATTACCATGTATAATAGGCATTGAGTAGTCAAAAGTGAAATAAGACACAATGCCTGTTCTCAAGGACTTTTCCATTTAATACCACACTAGGCAGCCTAGGTGTAATGAAAAAAAAATCAGCTTTAAGTAAAGAAGGCCAGGGTTCGAGTCCTGTCTCTGACACATATAGGCTGTGTAACCTCAGGCAAGTCATGAAATCCCTTAAATGTCCCCAGACAGCTCTGTCAGGCTACAAGTTGTGAAGAAAAGCAGGTGCCATTCTACATTAGCAGAGGAATTTTCCTAACCGGGAGCTCTTCAGACCAGTGAAATCATAGGTTCAGTTAAAAAAAGAAAGAAAGAAAGAAAGGAGAAAAGCTGATTGTCCTTAATAACAATAGGATAGATATTTCCCTGTTTTTGTGGGTGCAAAGCTCTGGGGAGGCAGTGGGATGGACAAGATGCCCCCTGGAAGTCCTGGCAGCCCCCCAATTCTAGGTAATAATTACAGCCCCTTGAATAGCTCCATAAGGTTTACAGATCAGAGTTTGATTCTTACAACAATCATGTGAGGTATTTTTATCCCCATTTTACGAAAGCGGAGACAGAGGCTCAGAGAGATTAAGTGATTTGCCCGGGGTCACACAGCTAGAATGTGCCAGAGATGAGATTAGAACCAGATTTTTCTTTTCTGACTCCAAATCCAGAGTTCCATCGCCCCCTCCGTGGGACAGCGGCGGCGCCTGCGCCCACGTCCAAACCCCTCCCATCAGTGTCTGTGGCTTCGAGCGCCCCCCAGCGACGGGGCCTGAGCTCTCGGGCGATTCCCCCCAGGAACCTGGCGGGCGCCCGGGCCAACCAGCATCGGGCTCTCAGTGGGCCAATGAGGAGGCTCCTTACAGCTCGGGCGGCTGACGGGAGCGAGGCGGCCCTGGCGGCGAGCGGCGCTGACTGACAGCCCAGTGCCCGGAGCAGGGAGCCCGAGTCGTGGCCGTGGCAGCCGCCACCGCCGCCGCCGCCGCCTGCTTTCCCTTCTCTCCCTCCAGCCCCCGGTCCCGGCCCCTTCCTCGGTCCCTTCCTGCCAGGGCCATGGCTGCGAGGCCGCTTCGGCGGGGCTGGGTGCCGCGGGTGGGGCGGCGGCACTGAGTGGCGGCCGGGCGGAGGGGAGGGAAGCCGCCCCCGGGAGCCCCGCCGAGCCCCGCCGCCTCCCTCCGGGCCGGACCGGAGCAGGAGTGGCCTCCCCCGCCGTCCGACCCGGTGAGTCTCGTCGCGGCCGCGCGGCGCCCATTCTCCCCCACGCGGGATCGCCCCGCGCGCGGAGGTCGCTGGTCGCCGGGGGGCGGGGGCGGGGGCGGGAGGGGGGCAGCGGCCCAGGTGCGCGCGGGCCCATCCGGGGGCGTGGCCTCAGCTTCGGCCGCCCACCCCCGGGGTGTTGGGGTCCTGGGGGCGGCGCGCTGGCCGGGCGGGGGGCTTGGCCCCTTCACCCCTTTCTTCTGGGGTGGTGGGAGGAAGGCCTTCTCTGAACCCCTCTAAAAAGAGAGGTGCTCTAGCTGGAGGCGTAGCCTCGGGACGCCCCCCCCACGCTGCCCCCGCCCCCTCCTCCTCCCCCTCGTGGCCCCTGAGTGGGGGCCCTGGCCGGGCGGGTGTGTCCCAGGGTGAGGGTCTTCCTCTCCCGCTGAAGATCCCTGCTGGGGTGAGGGCGCGGGCCAGAAAGGCCCAGCCCAGACCCCGGGGACGTTCCCCCAAGGCTCCCCTGGATTTGGGATCATCTGATGGATTGTGTGTGATCACATCGGTGTCTGGGCGGGGGCTGCAGCAGCTGGATCCCTGAGGAAGTGAGAAGAGACGCCCTCTCTCCATCCCCCGAGCTTCCACCCCCACCCCCACGTCGTCGCCCCGTGAATCCCGGTCCCTGCGCCCGGGAAGCCTGTGTGTGAGACTCGCGTCCCGGAGCCTTCTCTCCCCGAGGCCGGGCCGGGCCGAGCTGGGCCAGGCCAGGCCAGGCCAGCCTCCCCAGCCCTGCCGGCTTCCCCCTGGGAAACCCAGCGGTGAAATGCCCGGGCTCTTTTGGCAGGGCTCCTCTTCCCCGAGATGGGAGTGAGCTTGTGCCGGGGGAAATGATCCGTCATCATCCAAAGCCGGAATGGGAGGGAGCCTCTGTGTAGGCAGGGAAAGAGTTGCGAACTGTGCTGAGCTTGGCGCTTGGGGGAAAAAAAGGGCCCCGAAGCCCAGACCATTCTCTTTTCTGGGAAGAAACAAATCGGCTTACTTTAGCTAGAGCCTCAACCATTTTGTCTCTGTTGTAAGTTGTGCACAAATACGCGAAGAGGACAAATTCCAGGGCCCTTTCTTGGGGAAAACCCTGGTGTCTTCTTTGGAAGTTTGGCTTAGTCAGGGCAGTGTCACTTCCTAGCTGACTTGCCTGCTTTAGTGTTCATTCTGAAAGGTGAAACTAGGTTATAGGAGGAGGAGGATTTCCTAACTTGACTGTTGAAGGAAACGAAGAAAGCCAAGTATCCTTCTTTGAAGAAAGCAAATTAGAGAAAAGAAAGAAAATTTGAGGAAAAAAAAAAGTGATGTTTCTGGGGTAGGTGGATTAAAACTTCGTAGTGATCCCTTTAACTACTATAAATTCTTCCTGCTTTGTCTCCTCCTTAAGTTCCTTCTAGTTCATTGTCCTTACAAAACTGTCAGGCTATTCTTAGCCAGAAGCAGAATCTTTCAAGAGGAGTTCAGTGAACTCAAGAAACCCACGGTATAGGGGTGGAGACTGGTGGGGAAAGAGCAAAACACTTGAGAATGTAGACCAGGTTTCTTTTTGGTCATCTTTTTTTAGAAGTAACTTAATTTTCATTTGTCTCTAAGTAAAGCAAGTATCCTGGGAGGGGGGTTGATCCCTCCTCTTTGGAAGTTCTGAACTCAAAATTTTAGTTTTAATAGATGCTCTCCTGCTTGATACAGAAATTCCCTACAGAAGACCATCCTCTGGCCATTGTTCATCTAACTTCTGCTCCAATGACTTAACCAGTTGTTGGGTCACTTTGGTTGGGAAATTCCTGTGACTAGCTAAGATCAACACACCTGTAACATCTACATTTTAGTCCCTGTTACATTATCCCTGCAGGATAATGTAAGCTCCTTTAATCACAAAAATGACTTCTTTTTTTTTTATTTATTATAGCTTTAGTATACAAGTTGAGATGATATATTTAGGATGTCCCTATATATATATAGGATGATTAAACTGCACTAAGTCTTGTTCAACATTCTATAAAGCACTTTGCCAACTTTAAAGTGCTACATAATGCCAGCTATTAGTAGCATTAGCAGTATATCCCTTTGAATACCCTGGCTTCCCAGTTTATCAATATCTTCAATTGCCTTAGCATATCTTCACTATATCTCAGCCAAAGAGTTGGTCATATCTTAGATTTCTTCATCACCTATATTTAAGATCTAGAACTTTGAAATACTTCTCTCTTATGATAACCTTTTGTCCTTTAATTTCTCCCTTTCTCACTCCTGTACCTATTCTTTGACTTGACCATGACCTCTAGGAAGGCCTTTCACTCCTCCCTGTTCTTCAAATCTGTCACTCATGTTCTGACTTCCTTTCCTTTATGGCTTTAACTCTATTGTTAATCAATGAAATTACATACTGACTTCTCTCCTAAATTTCTTGGTCTCTTGTCCTAACTCAGTCCAACTCTGCCAATTCTCAGCCTTAGATCACTTTCCTGTTAACTTTCTCCACTTCCCAATCTTCTACCACCTGCTACCTCGCTGACTATGTGACTACAAAATCATATTACCTAATCCAAACTGGTTCCTCATTTGATCCTTTATCACAGTTCTCTAAGTGCCTGTTCTGAACCTTCTCTCTCCTTAGGTTCCCTCCAGGCTCCCTCTTCACTCCGAGAAGATGACCTTATTTCCTAAGGTATTGAGAAAAATTATGGTCATCTGTTATGAGTGCCCTCCTCTCCATATCCTTCACCTCAGATACCTTCCTCACCCATTCTCTCTTTTCTCTAGTCTCTGATGAAGATATGGCCCTTCTTGCCAAGGTCAACCCCCTCAGCTGGCATATTTAATATCTGCTTTCCAGGAGCTTGCTTCATTGTTAGTTCTCTTTCATCTTCATTTGCCCCTATCATCTTCATTGTCTGTTGACTCTTTTCCCTTTAATTGTTAGCAGCCACTAGAAAGAAAGTTATCTGCTGTCACTCAGTGTCTCTACTTCCTCACTATTCACATATTTCAACTCCATTGCAGTTATCATCTATTAAATACTTACTATGTGAAAGGCACTGGTGATAAAAAGACAAAATTGAAAGTTCCTGTTGTCAAGGAAATTTCTCTTTTACTTTCAATTTGGCTTCTGATGCTGTTATCAGTCTACTAACAGCTTTTCTTTCTGAGATTATCAAAGATTTCTTACTGTTAGAAGATGACCTTGCCTTTTCTTGGTTTTCATTCTCCTTGATTTTTCTGCTGCTTATGGCGCTATTGACCATCTTCTCCTGGATACCCTGTCTTCCCTTGACTTCTTTGGCTTGACTCTGTCTTGGTTCTCCTTTTACTTGTATGACCATTCCTCTGACTCTTTTGCAGGATCATAATCCACCATACATGCTGTAGGCATGTGTATTACCCAAGGCTTGGTCCTGTATCTTCCTCTTTCTTTCTGTGTACTTTTGGTGATCTCAGCTGATTCCATGGTTTCAATGCTTATCTCTAGGCAGAGGATTCTCAAATATCGAATTAAGCCTGAATCTTTCTCCTGAATATCAGTTTTGCATAGTTACTTGGATGTCTCATTAGCATCTCAAGCTCAGTACTTCCAAAATAGATCTCATTATCTTCCATCTTAAACCTGACCCTCCTCCTAACTTTCCTATTTTTATTGAGGGTGCTACAGTCCTTCCAGTCACTCAGAATCCTTTGCCAGGAGTCATATTTGACTCTTCTCTATTTTTCAGGCAATCGTTTTAATAAGTTGCCAAGTCCTTCATAGCATTCATCTTCTCTCCAGGTGCTTGGCCACCCAACATAATATAGGCCCTTATTACCTCTCTAGGACTATTATGACATCCTAATTATGCTTTTAATTTCCAAGCCTCTTCCTCTCTTCAATCCATTTTCTACATAGCTGCCAAAGTAATCTTCCTAAAGTCCTTATCTGAACAAATCATTCCCTTGCCCAAAAACTTTTGGTGGTTCCATGTGGCCTTTAAATTAGAATGCAAATTTCTTAATTTGGCTGTTAAGGCTTTCTAGCATGTGACTTTCACTTATCTTTCCAAATTCATTTCATATCACTTTACATCATTCACTTTATATTTCAGCCAAACTAGGCTGTTCTTAAACTTTCTGTTCTTTATCCTGCCTGTCCCTTGTGACTACAATTCACACCTTCATTATCTTGCTAAGGCTTATATATGCTACCAACTTTTACTCTGAACCATCCCTTACCTTACTCCTCCTTAATGCTCTCTCTCTCCTTAAATTGAATTACATTTATCTGAATTCATGTTTTAGTTCCCTTGTATAATATTGTAAACTCTTTGAGGGCAGGGATTATTTTTTAATTTGTATTCCTTGTCTTGTATTTAGTAGACACTTAATAACAGTTTGAATTGAATTGTTTATTGGTGCTAAACAGAGTAAGTCTAATTCTTTTTCTATGGGTTAGGGACTGTACCTTTAATTTCATTGGTAGGTTTATGCCTTTTCTGTCATTGATAGAAAGCTCCTTAGAGCAGGTAGTTGCCTGTTTTTGTATGTCCCTGCAGCTAAGAATGGTTTATACATTTTTCAATAAAGTTTTATTATATTTAAAAATGTAAAGATTATTCTGTGGGCTTCTTCAAAAACAGGCTGTGCAGCTTCACTTAACCTTTGAGTCTTAGGCCTTAGTTTTCTAATCCCTAGCCTAGAGCATTGAGATGTTAAATGACTTGTTCAGGGTCATGTAGCCAGTATGTGTCAGAGTTGAGAATTGAACACTGGTCTTCCTGGATGGAGTGGCTCAATCTTTATTCACTGTGACATGCTTCCTCTCTTCCACATGATATCTCTTTAGATATTTAAAGATAGCTCTGATATCTCTCTCTACATCATCCTTTCTCCAAACTAAGCAGTTTCTTTAGTCTTTTCTCATAACGTGGTTTCTACATCCTTCAAAATTCTGGTTGACCTTCCTTTGGACATACTGTAGCTTGTTAATGTTCATCTTAAAATGCCATGACTAGAAT